TTTTTTTTTTAAATCTATAAATAATGCAAACTTTTCTTACCCGCTTTTCTTCAAGTTCCTTCAATTCTTCAAACGTGCTTCTCATTACTGCAAAATTAAGACCAAAGTTCATTAAATTTTAAGTTGTAAAGTAAGTAACGACTGATTTTAATCAGAACAATTTAATCAATATGTTCGATCTTTAAATAATTTTACGCGGTAAATTTTGATCAGTTGTTTGCTGATATCGAGTTCCGACTTTTAATTAATTACCATTAAAATTTGTTTTACTATCTATTTTTGATCTCTAAATTTTAGATTTCATGTATGATACGTTTGTTTACTAAGTGGTTAATAATTACTTGATAGAAGCAAATGTTCAAACTTGCTGACAAAAACTTTTTGCTTAAAAAACTCTTTTGAATTGATTAGGCAACAGAATGAAACTGTGCTCATATGCAATTTTAAGGGAATAATCTTATGATTTTTTAAATTAGTAATCAATTTGTGTATAATATCTAGCAATAATTACTGGAAATAAATTAGAAAATTTGCATAAAAGATTAAAGTATAATAGTATATTTTGTAAATTTTTTTAGCTTGTTAAAAAGTAATAAATGTCATCAGTATACGATGGAATGATATTTGAAATGAAAATATTTTAAAAAAAGTTGCCAACAGAAAAAAAGGTAACTTGTAGTACAGAGATAACTGCTTGTACTTAATTTATTTATGTTTCTGTAAGTTTCAGTCAATTGCTTTACAGCAAATATGAATAATAAAGGGATCTCACCTGGAGAAGTTGCTACAGTAAGCCATAATGTCAATGTTACTGAGACAGTAAGTAAGAATCCTTTTAGCATCTTTGCCTGAAAACATATAGCATTGAGAATAATAAATAATCACAATTTCATGATAATTACATAAATCATAAAGAGAGCTTACAATGAATTATCGCTATTCATACAATATTTCTTGAAGTTATGAAAAGAATAAAGTACTTATATTCAGACAGAGTTGATATTCAAAAACATTTGCTTATGAATTAAAATATATGACGTTTATTTATGAATGATTATAAATAAGAAGCTGAAAAACAAGTGATAATGATAATCTTTGATACATTGTTAAAGTAATTACCAAAATATTTATGAGAATAACTTACGAGATTCACTGATAAGAAAGTAATCGCTTTGTTTATTGTTTGTAAAAATTCCCAGAAAATTTTTCTTCTGATACATGTTATCAAGTTATACTATTAGTTACATCGCAGCGTTAAAAAACTTTCGAAAATAAAAGCTATACTTTATTTGACACAGTGCAGTACTCTTACTACAAAATTGATATCTTTATATAATCCCAATAAAATAATAAAATGCTCTTATATATGGTAATAACTTTTGTATCTGAACTTTGAACTTATAATTTCTGAATGCATCAGTGCTCACAACGGTTGAAATAAATGCATGCACTACCTAATGATTTTGCCAGTTTTAGCAAAATTTTTCTGAGTCGATTTTTTCTCAAAGCTTTTACTATGCATTTTTATACGACACATTATAATTCGTACTTGTGATTATGAAGTATGAAAAAACAAAATAATTTTGCTGAAGACATTATTATATTGTCGACAAGGACTTTTCGTTATGCTAATTCTGGAATTAATTGTGGAGACATATTATTCGAAGAAATCAGAAAACAGTGCAACAATATTTAGGTTTAATTTTTTGACATTTAAATCTTTGCGTGAAAAACGTAATTTTTGAAATTTTAGGATAACAAAATGTAATTATAACTGGGAAGTTTTCGTTTGTGCAAATTAGTTCATTTTCGCAAAATCTTAATTACATTAAAATCTTTGTGCTAATAACAATTTTAGCAGATAACTTTGATTGCGCTTCTCAACGTCCTCCAGTTAAAACCGAGTTTTTATTCAATGATATGCAACAAATCTATCCAAAACTTCGCCTCTCTAGTCATTGCATCGATTCTTGCAAACATTTTTTGAATTTCATTTTGCTTTATGATTCTCAGAAATAGTTTAAAATAACAGAATTGTGGAAGAATGCTGAAATTTTTGTTGAAAAATGACTTATAAATTTAAAATTCAGTTTAGACATCAATAACTCACTTCGATATTTATTCCTTTTTGCTTGAAAAACAACAAAAATTATGCCAAGTGAAAGAACTTGCATAAAAAAGATAATTTTAATACATTTTCCTTTCACGTCTAATATAATGTCTGGCTGATACTTCTGTTTTCGCTCACTTTAAATGTTGTTCTCCTAAGCATTTGATATTTAAACTGTGCGAAAACGTCCCTTTTGATCAGAGGGTAAAAAATTTATTTCTCAAATCATTTCAGAGTTTTTCTGACCTAAACAAATGTTTATCGTTTGATAGTTTTAAAATATCTACTTCTTGGCAATTGTGACCAAAACAAAACTATATAAAATCTATTTCGCACGTAAAATTGAAATTTGAGGATAATAACAGAACTGATACCATTACTGAAATATAAATGCGGTCTAACTTATTTATACTTCAAATTTTTAGACTTACTGATGAAAGCCGTATTGTATCGTTTGCGTAATTTTAGTATATTTGAAATTGCTAAATGTCTTTGAATTTGATAAAACTACTTCGTTTTTGAGATTATTTTGAAAAATGCAGATTTCTTATATATATATATATACTTATTCTTTTTACATATATTTATTTGTACTTGTTTTACTTACATTTATATATAAAGAAAATGAATGATTTTTAATCTCAGACACTTTAAGCAAATGTTTTGTGTACTTTTATGGAAAGCAAACGAAATCGAAACCTCGTATCATCTAGAGTCAAAAACTCAAACATTCAATGTCTTATGCAAAAAAACTTCATATTATATTTCACAAATCAATTTCTGAATTCATGGACTTTACAGAGAGCTAATTTTTACAGCTAGCTCAAGAATTTGGATTTAAATCACTACACAAAAATATTTCATAAACCCTTTCGTTCTTTTTTAAGAAAAATTCTTCAATGTTGCGGAGATCACGGAATGGTCAAATGATTCAGCATGAATGCAATCACCCTTTCACGTGTGAGTGACTGTCTCTAAAAATTAACCTCATTTGTTTTACTGACCACTGCTTTTTTGACAATGAAATATCCAAAAAAAGCACAATATTTCTGCATTATAAAACCAATAACATTCAATTATAAATTTGTTTTTCAGGAAAGCAAATTCTTAGAACTGCACAATTGTTCCAATTATTTTAACAAATTAGTAAAAAGTTAACGAATAATTAATTAAGATAAATTAGCATCTAATCACTTTATTTCTAATCAAAAATCGTAGATTGCTCGATACAAATCGTACAATTTCATTACTGAAAGCATTATTGTTTAAAAACGAATTCAGTGCAAGAGTCAAAGGTAAACGATAATGAGTAAACACTTACTTTACCGCTTTTCGAGCAGTGTTAATCAGTAAACTGAATGATTCTTCCGTTATGATGAAGAAATCCCTTGCCAGTGAGATGCAATAAAGTCAAATCCTGATCAACGTTCATTTTAATTTGAGCACCTAATTGCCTCGAAATGGAAATATCACTCCAAAGGTCAGGTTATCAAATTTTAGAAGCCAGAATATTTTCTGTGGCTGTCATGAATCGTTACATTCATAAATTCTTGCAGTTTTTAGATAATGCTGCTTGAGAGCACTTATGAAAGAAACATACTGGCCAAAGGCATGATCGAGTTAGAAGAGATAATTAATCTCTTTTGACACAGCTTCCTATGTCTTCCCCAGAGATCGTTGCTATTCACTAGAGATTGGTAAATAAAACAACAGCTAAGCTTCCTTTGGTGTTGAAATGTTGCAGAGATAGTAGATCATATGACCAATCCCTTACCTAATGTTTTATATAGAACTCAGTAATAAACTTCATTGATTTAAAAAGTGGCCAAAAATATTTCAAGAACATTATCAATAAAAACTGATCTTGTCAAGTCCAGCTGAAGCTTATCAGATGAAAATCTTAATAGCCTCATAAAACAGAACGATCTTCATGTAATTTTTTTTATTTTTATGAATATATGTAATACTAATTGCCTGCCTTTAGAATCGTAGCCAGTACATGAATCCACAGCAACCAACAAACTTGTGCTATACTTTCCAGATATTTGAATATATGCTAGCAACTTTATTTTCAATCTGTAACTCTTTATTCAAAATTCTTATCATGCTATCAAGTGTTAAGAAAAATTAAATCGTAATGTGATGTCAAATATCTTTGTGCATATTATGCAATCATAATTTTTATACATAAATAGCATTTATCTTATAGGTTTATAATACAACAAGAGATCACCTCCTTGTTTCCATATGAAGTGCTTCACAGTTCGTAGATCCATTTCTGAATCCAATTTCTATAAAAGTCAAAATATTTGATGAATTGATACTACCAATAACAAGAATGAAAGAACCTACCATAGAGACTTAAAATCAATATGGATTTTTAGTTATTAGACCTATATTACTGAAACGAAGAAACATTAAAAATAAATATTTTTCTTTGAAAACGCAGAATTTTTCACTAAAAACGCAGAATGAGAAACATTTTAAAATTATCATGATACCAATTTTAGCATCTTCTGGATTTCAGTATGATGTAAGAGTCAAGTAGTGCTCATAGAAAGGAAAACATATGTAAAAGTAGCTTATAATTTGCAAGCATACCTGATCCTGACAATATAATTCTATTCTCTCTTCTATATTAGATATCAGAGAAGGTGGTAGCACATGCGCTGTCGATGGAACACCATTCTCCGCGTAATTTGCGTTATTAACATTCAGTATCTTCTCATATACATGCTCCATTACTTTCCTCACTTGAAGCATTTCTGTAGCACTTAATCGATCCCTTAAAAAATTATCTTCTGATGGTGAATCTGACAAATTTGGCCAGCACTGCTTTTTAATTATTGTAAGTTGAAAGAATTCGAAACTACCGGTAATGAATTCATCAGAATATTTTTTTGATAAATTCTATTTCGATTTTGCTCATTATGAAAATGGCATTTGAGGAATCAACTTTGCTTGTAACAAGAAATATACTTTTTTGGTGTTTTTATTCCAAGAGATGGATGTGGAAGTAAAAAAAATGGCATTTTGTTAAATTTTGGCAATTGATTTCGCTCGACAACATCTAAAACCCAGGCTGGAACAAAATCAGACAACATCTGTGATTCTGTTTCATGAGCAGCATCTCGTATCATCAAACGAAATATTGGCCGACCACTTGACTCACTAGAAAAGTTGCTTTTCGTTGGCATAAACCAGGATAAATAAAGGAGCAAAAAAAAATGATACGGTTAGCAGTGATATGATGAAATAACAAATTTATGAACTACGAAACATATAAAGTTATTACAAACTGAGTAGTTGAGGGAATCAAAGCTTAATATTTGCTGGAAAACAAAATTACCGATAAAAGAAACACACTTGGTGCAAAATAAAAGTACAAAATGAGGTCAATTTTTTGTATTACTTCTTTATTCATCGTCCATCTTAAGAAAAATGACAACATACCATAATATAAGTGGAGTATGACCCGGCACTGAATTGAAGTGATGGGTAGGAGATTCTTCATCAACATCAGCAAACGAACGTGACCAATGTTCAAATAATGCCCGAAGGAGCATGCCTCCATAGTTGACTACAACACTAACTGAATTGCAAGAATTTCATTTATAATTTTCCATTCAAAAAAAGTGCTTGTTAACTACATCGAACAAAGCAAAGTAAAAAATTATACTTTTAGTATCATTTTGACTATCCGAAAGACCAGCGTCTTTTGCTGAAACCCAAGCAGAAAAAAAGTCCGATTCGTCCAGCGTGATCTGCAGCATCTAAAATATTTGACGATAACTAAAACTTGATAAAAGTTTCAGGAACTTACAAAACCATTCAAATTAACTTCAAACATACAAAACAGCAATTTGATAGCCACTGAATATTACTAGCACAATTAAAAATCAAAAGTTAAAGTGCATATAAATAAAACATTCTATTTTTAGTAAATTCACATAAAATTTCAATACTCACACCACTCTTGAGGTCGACTGTAAACCACGAAGGCACAAAAACCTTTTTGAAATGATCTCTGATTACTTCCTCCATTGATCTTTTTCCGTGATCAGAGACCTTGAAAAATCTTTATAATATTTTTTACTTTCTAATTTATCTATGGAATTTGATAAATATGCTATCAAGAAAATTTTTGCTTAAACAATATGCCACAAAATTTATCTTGAATAATGCCAATTCCATATTCAGAAAAAGTCTGAACATTCTAGCAAAGTAAAAGACATCAGACCTTTTTTCCTCTAAGGATATCCCAAACTGCTACATTATCATCAGTATCCTTTGTGACAATGTGCCTTTTATCATTCAAAACAACATGTTGTCTAATGCTTGCAGCACCTGAAAATATTGCAAAAAAGTCGAAAAGGTCACAGTAAAAACGTTCACTCATCTTTTTCCCTCTAATCATGCAGACTGTACTGAAGTCTGTTTCCATACCTGGAATTATTACATCTGGCTCATAAATACAAGGAACCATTTCTCCACACTGATTGTCTTCTACTCCTATTGAAATCCGCGCATCGCTTGTTAATGGCCATCGTTTTAATGACGAATTCCAAGTGGCAGCCCAAATGAAACGAGGTTGATAGGGATTAGTTAATTCCAACTGTAAAAAAAAGACACAAAGATTTGAAAACAGAACATTTCGGCTCATACAAATAAATGAAGTAAATAAACATTCGATAATCAGTTTAACTAATCACATTAATACAAATATTTGCATTTACAAAATCAATTGTATTAATTTACATATGCTTCGAATGGAATGAAAAAACTCACACATTGTATCGGCGCATCTTCAACGAACATCAGCTGAGCAGTTTTAAAATCATTGACTGCCGTACGGAAAACTTTTTTATCTCTCCCTCCGGAATATACATACGAAAAATTGCTATCAGCCTGAATGACATAACAGTTATCAAATGTGATGTAATTTTATTAACAATTAACATTTTTCACTCAATATATGGACTGAGAATGCTTTTCAACAGACAAATAATGGAATAAAACCTGTAGTGCCCAAACACCTTCTGAATGACATTTCATTGATGATACACAACACTGTTGGCCAATGCTCCATAATTTTATGGTTCCATCACTACTGGCTGAGATACACTGAAACATAATAAGGTTTGCATAGTTTAGTGATTCAAAGCTCTACTGTAAGAGAGAAAAAAGTCAGGGAAGTTGCTTGAGCAAAATAAAAAAGTATACATATTCATAAAAGCTGCTTGAAATTTTATATGTACAAATATAGAAGAATCTAAAAGATAAAATTTTAAAGTTTCAAACTTGTGTGCCATCACGATTAACAATAATTGCCTTAACGTTATCCGTGTGACCGCGAAGCTTCATGAGCTTTTGACATGAACGAGGATCGAATACTCGAAGAACCTTCAAAACATTAATGAATAAAAAAAGAAAACTAAAAAAGGTCAAAAAGTAAAGAATACTTTTTCTGTTGAACCAGATATAATAAGCGTTCCAGAAGGATTCATTGCTAATGAATAAATACTGTCTTTGTTACCAATCAGTGAAGAAGCTGTAAGAAAAATTCCTAGTTTAAATTAAATAATGGTGAAAGAGCTAAGTGAAACAAAAGATTAAAAAAAAATTGTTGGATCATTAGACTGTTTCGAAATATCTCTTGAATATTGAAGTTCTATGAAAGTAAAACTTACTTGTAACAGTATTATTTAATGCAGTAAGCTTTGTTAATGTAGCAACATCCCACAAATAGATAAGTTGATCGAAACCACCACTTGCAACCATTTCAATGTCACAGGCATATGCTAATGCACGGACATAGTCACGGTGTGTACGCAGCGTAGACATACAAAAACCTTTTTGAGCATTCCAGACTTTCACTGTTGTGTCACTTGAAGCCGAAATAACTAAATTTCATTATTATGTATTGAAATCTGGCATTAAAATAAATTAAAAAAGCATAGTATAAAAGCATTTGAAACTATCTTACGAAAATCTAATCATGCGGCTAAACAATCTGAATTAAAAGTTTTTCTTACTGTGAAGAAGGACTGCAATTTTGTGAAAATATGCAAAAATTCCTTATATCTTTGATACAATTCAGAATTTAAAATGTCGATAACGAACATACGATTTCTGCCGCCACAGCAAAGCACTATATCATTAACCCAATCAGTGTGATGTTCCATAGACTGTATATGAAGATTATGGTGAATCCTTGTTCTTTCTTTTCTTTGATAGCCATCGCCATTGAACATAAATCCTTCATCTAGCTATAATGTAAAAAGATAAACAAAAAATCTTAGTGAGCAGGATACAAACTTATATGGAGTAGTAACTAATCCATTTCTTATAAAAACAGGCGAAAAACCATCTGTAACACCTTATCAATTTTCTAATCTCAAGAAACGCAGAATACGACAATCATTTACACACAAATTTTATGCCTGCAAACAAAAACTACGTCAGTATAATAAACAACACAATATTCTTATGAAAAATTCGATAAAAATTCGAACGTTGTCATTGTTTTGATCGGGTGCTTCCCAAATACGTATTATGGTGTCAGAACCGCCAGAAAACAATCGGCCTGTTCCCATATCGTACTGTAAACAGTTAACTCCTGAACGATGCATGGGTTCTTTCTCATCCCGAATTACAAATGAAACCTATAACACAGTGCATAGATACGGAGAACAAATAAAATTATTTCTGAAACTTTCAAATTTAAGAAAATGAAAATAGTGTAGAATATAATACAATCAAATCAATCCAATTTCATTTATGAGGAATCTAGTATAATTCGTCACTGACCTGCACTTTATTTTTTATGGGAATTGCTGCCATTATTCAAACCTAAACTCCCGAAGCCAATCATTTAAACATCAGAAATCGAGCACTCCCTCAGGGACTGAAATTCAACAAATTAATAGTCCCCATTCATTCACAGATAACAAGACCTAAAGTAGGAATGAGTAGAATGTTCTCTTGACCGTTACATTACTAGCCTCAACATATTTAGAAAGGATGATTGGATGGTGCAAAAGACTGCTGCCCACAAATGAGCAATAAATTTCCCACCTCCACTCCAAAACGAAATCCTTACGTCGGCCATACCAAAACACTAATCACTTACCTGCTCTAATGCAACTAAACTTACTTGTCACAACTAGTCTCATTATAAAGACATTTCACAAATAATTAGTAGTAGAAGAAATGTTTTGTGTGTACAATTTCGGCCAAAACACGCATTTCTTGCAAAAATTTATCTCACAATAACATCTGAATAAATTGAGAATTACTTTTCAATATACAATAGAGGCGCGAGATGCACAACGCAATATTTAGAAAAAATATTTAGAGTCTGAATAGGGAATACTATTCCTTCCAGTGAATAAAGAAACTTACAACATTCAAAAATCGCTGTAACAATATCAAAATGGATGAGGTCAGTGAATTCTTACTTTTTTAGATACTACGATCACACAGAAAGAAGTTGAATCACAAATTGACAATTTTTTCTCAAATTTAAACTTCAACATTAAATTGACGTCTTCAGAAAAAAACAAAGTTAGCCAACAAATTCTACAAATTTTAAGCAAAAGTATCTTCGCGATCAGCAGTAAATACTCCCAGCGGATCATCAAATGCTTTGAAATTGTGGAAATGCAATGGTCGATGGTCCTCATGATAGAATTCTTTAGGATTCGCTAATGTCAAATCATAACGCATATTCGCTTCATGCCGAACACCTGTAGTTAACGATTAATATCTTGTTTGTTAATAATTTCCAATGCTTCACGTACATTTCAAAAAAGAAGGTATGAACTTTCAAAATTAAACTATACCCATAAAATTATAATTCCATATTCCTGATGAAGGGACCATAAAATAGCCAAGAAAACGGTCTGATAATAGCATCTGAACTTTCTCATAATGAGAGGGAAGATAGCCTTTTGGATTATTGCTTTGCTTATCCGTGTTACTTCGAGCCCATTCGAAACCGCTTGGAGTTAGTTTGTAAGCAGTTAATGACACTGAACCAGGAGTGAAACTAAAATAACGAACTGCTTTTAAAAAAACTTTACTGTTATTATTGACTGATCAATGTGAATTAAGATGTTTCTCACAATCATAAAAGTGTAATCCGATTCTACAAACCTGCAAGTAATAATAACAGTTTTTTCACCATCCCAACTTTCATTGTCGATTAAGATTTTTGCATGAGATGTAACATCTTGAGGAGAAAGTTGAGGGAGTTCATTTGGTTGTGTGTGCATCCTAGAAATGATCACGAAAATAAAGAAGCTGCTTTAACTGCACAAGCAAGTTTACTTTCACAAAAATTCACAATAATAACATACCATCCAAGTGGTTCGAGATCTTTAATGAATTCATGAGTGGGTAACTGATTTGGAAGATGTACCAACTGATGAGTACCCCACTGCGGTGGTAATACAATACATCGAATTTCTTTTACTTGTGGATTATCAGGTGGTGATACTCCATAGAGATAACCCGCAACCTATTAAGAATAATACACTTGGTAAACAGCTAATAAAATAAGCACACCTTAATTCTGATTTCACTTAGATAAAAAAACTGCTCACTTGGGTTCTTAAATCAGCGATAACAATAAACTTTTTCAATACATTCTTTGGCAATATGTATGTATAGCCTGTATCTTTAACATCATCTGAGTTGACATATATATGCTGTGTTCGTAAATGCAAATTAGTCGCACTGATTGCTCGAATTCGCCATTCCGTACGTGACGCAAACGTTTGACTCTGAAAATACGAATGAATGTTGTTCTAAAAGTATAATTTCATTGAATAATTTTGCAAAATAACTGGAGATGAGTTTTTGAAAAAAAGAATAAAAAATTTTTTCAGTTTTCAATGCCTTATTAATATTGCTCAATGTGTCTAACTTTATAATGAAGATAGTACCTCATAATTACTCGTCGTTGCTGATATAATTTCATCACCATGTTTGTTGACTGTTCGTGTTGTGGTTGCAGTAACCTTCAAAGTAAAGAGAAGATAAAACGTGGTACCAATGCATTAAAATATAAAATAATGCGATGAATTTATTATTAGTCTTTTAGATTAAAAAAATTACAAACTAAATAGACTTTTAATCACCGAATGACATTAATTGATCAAGTAACTAAAACTTTCTAAAGTGTACTTGACTCTGTTCCTTTGTTTGTTTTTCAATATCTGCTATCTGCTGACGCTGTGCTGATGGAGCACTGATTTCCATACCGAGAATGATATCTCGCACTTCACTTTGTGTCAGCGATGCAACATTGACATTATTTTTTTTACCATAATCTGCCAAAATCATATCTTTCAAAGCTAATTCAACCTGCAATTGAAAGACAAACTGAAATTTAGCTTCTACTCATTTCTAAAGCGATTAACTGATTGTCCCATACATACCTTAATCCAGTCTTCATCAGAAAGAGACGGCCATATATGATGTGGTTCAGTGACTGTTGTCTTGTCTGGCTTCAATATAACTTTGGTTTTATCCGGGTTAATATGCATTCCACGCATTATCAAAATAACGCGAGAGAATGCTGTATAACTTGATATAGTCTGAAACGAGAAATTGGAAATGAAAGGTGCTTTTCCTACTTCATGCTTTCACAAATCCAAATTTTTTATATGATTTATTAACATTACATATTCTTCTGATTATAAAAATATTAAAATTTAATCAGCATTTTCACTGAGAATCTAAAGCACATACAATAAGACAGAATTAATAAAAATGTGATCCAGCTCTTACATAAAATTGGTAAAAAATAAAATAATTACTTTCAGCCAATCATCATACAAGTTGAATAATACCATTTGAGGTTCAGTAGCTTTTAAAATAAGATCACCGAATTTTTCTACCTGAAAGTTTCAAAATAATGTCTCCAGCAATGACCTCAAAATATAATTAAAGCTATCAAAACCATGTAATTCATACCTTCATAATAGCTTGAAAAGGTAGCATCAATTCTGACCCTTTGATAACAATATTTGGAAAATCAAGCAAGTGCACTTCTAAAGGATCTAACATAGCTTTCCTAGTTACAATGATTTGACGTGGTTGTTCTTCGACTGGCAAAGAACGAATCAAAGCAGCTACTTCTTCAGCTGTCTTCCACTTGGCCAACTGAAATTGGAATTTGAGTACATATATTAGATATAAATTCAAGTAATAAACGAAATAGTACAAACAATCTCTATTTGAATGAGAAAATATTACCTGACTTAGACGTTTCTGCCCAGCCCAAACACTTGTATGAATAATTTTCAAAAACAGTTGCCCAGTTCGAGGGTTAAAAATGAAAATGGCTCCATTAATCGGTTTCGTTGTTAAGTTTCCTTCGAATGTCTGCAAGAATCAAAAAGTAAAAACAAGTGGGCAAATATTTGATACTATATTATGGAATTAAGATGGATAATCATATTTATAAAAAAAGATAATATCCAAAATCTTCGAAGACTAAAGAATATACTTTATGAATCGTCACTCTGTAGACATTCGTATCGTCTACAAACCAAATAATTTGATTGCTGAATAATTCACCATAATTCTGAGATGTCAAATATGGTTCCGTAGGTTCTGATGAGTACAACTGTAGACCTTTACGAATACGCTCCCGCAATACATAAAAGGCAGGATTTGCTTTGATTATTTTAGCCATAGCTTGTCGAATAAGAGGTTTCATACCAGGGAACCAATTGCCATAAGCGCTAGAAAATTGGGCTAAACCAATCTCCACAGATATTGTTATACAGTGCATTTTGAAGTTTGAGAACTAGATCTTATTTCAAAATACCGACAGAACTTTACCTATATAAATTGTAAGCCAAATCAATTGCTATTAGAACTCCGGTTGGCGATGGATAAATCGACATATTATCTGTTGTGTAATCAAGAAACTTGGCTCTTGCATAACGCTCAACATCATGTGAATCATAGTCACCCCATCGTAACTGAATATCTAGCCAGTATTTCTGTGTAGTAGTGTTATCCATAACATCTCTAAAATTTAGATGTCTACTTATGTAAGAAGAAACCTGAATTTCATAATGATGAAATTACTGCATAAATAAGGCAGGTCAAAAATGAAAGTGAAAATCTGTACAACACTCAAACTGTGAAACGGAAAATAATTTATAATTAAAAATTACTTTGTGTCAGCCAACAGAGACGGACGCGAAACATGCCACTTATATTGTGCAAACAGCAAAATATCAGCACATGAACTATTCATTTTATAAGATTTGCGAGGATGAATTGTTTCTTTTTGTACCGTCTGAATTTCCAAAGCATCAAGTTCCTGATCAAACACCTGGAAATGACTTCCATGAGATTAAAAACTTTAAAAGCAAAGATTTACCTCGATTCTACTCTTATTAAACAAGAAGCATACCTGACACAAGTCCATAACAACTGATTCATGGATTTTCTGCCACAAATGGGCACGGAATATTTGAATAAGTGATATTTTTAAAGTTGGAATTTTGCCGTGCATGAAGATACCAGTAAGATCAAGTTGCACTTGGAAACCAACATAAACCTGTATGTAACATGACAACTCATTTACAGTATTACTTTAAAAAATAAGAAAAAAAAACATGGATATCTGAAGCAAAACGAACATTAGCACGATTAATAGTCGGTGACCACCAAAGTGTGAAACGACGATTTGGAATTTGATTTAAACCAGATCTTTGAGCGTTTGTAAGTTTCTTGAATTTCATTGACTCCTCAAAACCAGAAGCTCGCTCCCAGAACAATCCTTCCCATGTAGGAAAGTAGGTACCCTGAAAAAATTGATACGAAAATCATCGATTATTTCCAAGAACATGAAATATAAAGTTTGTTCCGAACTGACAGAAAACAAACGTACTCGGAACAATGTGTGCTCAAGAATACCTTCAACACCACCCAAAGCCTGAATCATATCAGTACGGTAGTTGTTCAGATTCCACAATTTACCATCATGCCGTTGGTGTGTCCACCAAAATGGATTTTGCTTCAGAATCTACAAATATTTCTAATCACAACTAAATTTGACATCAACTTGTAACAAGCACTGAAACAACTACACAATATCAATTTAGTTCTTGAGCTCATAAAATACCAATGTACAAGACCTGATATGTTTTAAATTCCGTTCTCACTCGCCAACCCTTATCATATGCCAGAGTATGTCGATCTTTTTGGAATAGTGTATTTATTCTAGGAATTCCACGATCCCAGCTATCATCTAGATCTTCAAGAGTTAAGCGGCGGTTCTGGGCACTGGCTTCCTGTCTCTTCAGAGCGTATTTGGCCCAAACTCGTTGTGAATCAATGATCTCAGCTTCCCATGGCTAGAAATAGAAATTGCACGAGGAATTAATTAAGTTCGAAAAACTTACAAATGTCCAAAGACCTGGTGTCAATCAAATTCCAAATTTTAAAATAGAAAATTAACATGACAATTTTTGAAACCATATATTAGTAAAAAATATGAAATCGTAAAATTTGATAAGACCTGAATATAGCGATACAAATTCGGAATTAGCTGATCTTCATCATGCGTCATGCCACTTCGAAAATGAGTAATCCCACCCTGATCAGTTTGCTTCATCCACCGCAAGTCAGATTGTGGAATTAACACATGACCCATTGAAAGCATGCCTAATCCACCAATTTCCTTTGGTGTATAAAAAACCACAGGTGGGAAACGAGCGGGCATCTTAGAGTTAAGTCCGATTTTGATACTATAAAAGTTACGATTTTTATACTACACTGCTATTAATGAAAACTAGTTTGCATTTTCAAAGTTTAAAATTTGAACTGAGTGAAAAATTCCAAAATTTGTATTTACTAGTCTAAAAATGTGCAAACACGCGCAATCAATCTAGAATCTTTCATAAAGTCCACTATAACCACAACCTAGCACAAGATGTTATAATAGTCGGTGCACAAAGTCGTTGATTTTTCTACATCACTCAATGAGAAAGGATAAAAACAGAAAGGTAACAGCTATAAATATTATCAGCCTTTTCGTATTCCTAACTCTACTTTGTTAACATTAAATCTGTAATCTTTTATAGACCAAGAATAGTTTCATCCTTTTCACATTATAACTCATGTACGTAAAAATTTCAAGCTTATGTGAAATTCATAACGATCGATATACATACACTTCGAGAAATATCCTATGCAAATTCATTAATGAAGAATTTCATGAACAACGTCAAAAGTAGAATTGCTTGTTCTGTTATGAACAAGCTATAAACCAATACTGATAATTTTTATAAATTGTTTCGAAAGCCAAAAATGTACCGTGTCTGGATTTTGTTTTCGCACTTGACTAGTAAATCTAACAATTCCTGAGTATTAACCACAGCTTCTCTAAAATATGTCATCAGTCCAATAAGAGCCGTATTCCATTTATTAACAATCTGAAACAATAAATTAATGACTACGCTACTTAATACTATTGGAAAAGTAAGCGGTCAAATACCTTTGTGAAAGTAGTAGATCCAGAAGACATAAGGATTTGCCGAATCCGATTATGGAATTTCAATAAAGACTCCTCGTCAACTTTTAAGAAACACTGAGCTGTACGTTCTTTTGTGACCTTCAAAGAGTATAAAAGTGACTTTAGAAAAGACCCGACTCATGAAAATTTATGTAGTGATTATTAACAAACCTCGTTTTGCAGATTCCAAACACCATCTCGATGAGTTAATTCTTCAGTTGCCATACGGCACTTTGGCAGTATTCTGCATTCAAAACCACACATATCAAACAATAAGTTGGGATTGTCTTTACTATAAACTGATACAAATGAATTTTCCCATTCAACGGTAGTGACTGATCGAGGCAAACGATTCTACAAGTATCTCTCAATGTGAATTATTTTTTGAAAAATGTCAACTTCAATAACACCTAAACCAATTGGTTATAAAATCATAACAAATGAAAAAGTTAAATATTTTTCCATTACAAGAATAGAGAATAATAGCGAAAATAAATGATCATTGAACTGAACCTTAATATCCCAAAACACAGCGCGACCCAGATTAACATCATGCTTCATAAGCCTCATACGTGCATCTCTCGGCCAACACTTTTTGTTATTATAGCCAACAATGTTTTCATTATTTGGATCTGGATGCTCAGTTAAATATCGTTGGATTAAATCTCTCGAGTCATCGGACGAGAACCTACAAAAATTTTAATGAGATCTAATTTGGTCAGTATGCTTGGTCAAATTGTCATAATACAAAAAAAAGAATAAATTACCTGAAGAAGATCCAAATTTTATCAATGTATCTACAATACAGCCTGATAGGATGCACGATTTCTGTCGCGACGTCTTGATACGTAAGGAATTCGTTTGGACACTGAATGATTTTAGTATATTTCGCGTAAAACAATGTTTTTTTTGGTAGATTTTTGAAGGAAGCTGAACTGAATATAATTCTACCTGAGGTGGTCCAGCGATTTCACTAGCTCGTCTAAGACCAAGAATTAACAGATCTAGAACTAAGCCATAGTACTGCACAATAAATGATGCAAACTGTAATCCACGAATGATTCCGAAAGAATTGGTGTGATTCATATCCTTGTAGTTTATTAAGACATTATTCTTTGCTGTCATGTAATCAGCAATGTTGTGATCAACGATTAATCTAAAAATATACAAAATTAAAATTCTAACAGCACTCACTAAAAATGTGAGGCACATTTGATGAAAACTTTCATAAACCTGAGCAATCTGTTCAATAACGTCAGATCCATTTTTTCGTAAACTTTTTCCAGCCTTGCTTCTAACATAACATCACATTCACCTTCAGCGGTGTCCCAGACTTCTTGTAGATTATTAATACCTTGACACCTAAAAACGAGCATCTTAGTTCACCTAGTCACTGAGAAACGATAACGGCGCAAAAAGCAAAACCAGAACCAAGGTACCATTTATAAGTGAGAAGCGGTGGGGGTTCTGTGTCACTAGGCTTGATCCAATTAGGAAACAAACGACGTTTATCTGCTTCATACCATAAGTACTGATCCAAATACGCATCCGTAACTTTTTCTAAAGGTTCAATGTCGTAAACAGGTACCAAATGAGAATAAAGATCCATGAACTCAATTCCTACTTCCTGAAAAAAAGATTGAAGCTTTTGTTTTCTTCCAAGCATAATTGGTCACAAAAACTTTTAAACCAAAATATTATGTTAAATACCTTAAATGCTCTTTGCGTCAACATATGTCGCTTGATACGGGAAAGCGCCTCATGAGGATTATCGTATGCCTGCTCGATTAGAGCCAATTCTTCTCGCTGACTTTGATTCAAACGATTTTTTACTGAGTAAGCTTCCTAAATCAATAAAATTTAGAAGAGCTTAAATACGAATCACTTATGGAACTGGATTCAGAATAAATTCTGATAAAAAAGCTACTTTAAGTCGTTCCAATGCCAAAATGAGCAATTTTGTGTCATGTTTGTAGGAAAGTGGTGGAAATGGAATTGGTGAAAAACGCCTTGATTCCAACCAGTGCACAGTTGTTGTATAAACTGCTACAGCTTCTTCGGCGCTAATGTATGGGCCATCTTTCAAATAATTATGCTGTCTTTCTTGCTCAGCCTGAAATTTTTAAAATAAATTTAAGTCAAATATAAAAAAATCTTAAGCTTTGCAACGTTTTCGAAGATTAAATTGTGATAAACTGAATTAGTTGCAGCCCTGTACAATAGAAAATATAAACAAAAACAACAATTTCAATACTGAAAAAATGTGAAGACATACTTTAAGATACAAGCGCGTTAGACGCCCCAGATTTTTTTTGCAAACAGTCTTATCAACAGTAGCACCACGACGAACACGCTCACGGTTGTAATGAGCAGAGTTTGTCCACCAATCAGCTTTAGCTTTCACATAACGTAATATCATATTTTCAACTGGTGTTGGCAGTCCAGGCACCTAATCGTAACAGTTAATTACTTCTGTTATTAATCATTGTATTTTCAAGTAAAACAGTGAAAACCTTACCTTCCACGGTATATTTGCTTTCCAGCATCGCCAAGCTTCACTTAAATGCTGCAGAATCACACGAGCTTTATTCTGTTTAATTCCTTCAGGCATCATATCCAAAATATCGTGCATTACAGCAGCTCTGAATTAAAACTCCAGATTATAAATGAAATCAAATTTTCCTCAATTTAATAAGCCAATGATAAAAACCTCAATTCCAGATCAAAGTGAGATTCAACTCTTTGCTTGGTTACTGTCTTCGCAACACCCTTTGAATGACGACCTTCAAACTGTCGCGACAAAAGGTTTCCTAGCCAGCGCTCCAAAAGCGGAGTAATCCCACGCATAAAGAAAAGCCATACTCGCCATCCTGGTGCCCAAACACCACATCCTGGTCCTTTTCCTGAACTAATCATTGATGCGTAAACTTCGTCAGTTTAAAATTAGATTAAAATGATCACACTGAGATTAAATTTCACACAATGAAAGAGAACAAGTTTCAGTCTTGTTCCACTTACCTACAGGTCCCGTATTGAAACGATAGTATATAAGGTGCTTCAAATCTTTGCACATGCGAACTTGTCTCATTAACTTGTATTTGTAACGATACATGCCTGTAAGCTGACCAACATGCGAAAAAATATACTGCAGACCATCAGCCAACTGAAATATTCACTATATTAATTTTAAATAAAAGAAGGATTCCCTTCAAATAATTCAAAAAACCCTGCTTTTTATAATAAATACTATCAGCTTTATAGAAAACATTTTGATGAATGTATAAGGAAGATAATTGACGAAACAATCTAAAGATATGGAAATGGCAAATTTATGCCTCAAATGATTTATAATATACCTGATATGCATCCACATTATTTAGTCGGTACTGCACATGAGCGTCGACTACCAATTTTGTGAGACGCAAGATCTCACGACACAAATGGAATGCGTTACCAAAACGAGACTTTTTACGTTCTTTAGTTGTTAACGTTTTTACTGGCTGAAAACTACCAAAAATAAATTTTGAGTTAACGAATTATATTTAAAAATACAATGAAACAAAAATCGTATCTTCAAAGACAATAAAATGCTGTAACCTTCAGGTTAAAATTATAATCCAGATGAAGATAATTCAAGTTCTTGCGATGTATGAGTAAATTAAGCATATTATAGCCTTGACGCAAAACCTGTAAACCAGCTTCAACCCAATCTAGTGTAGTCGACTGGAAAAACTTTGTTGACTTGAACGAGCGGAAAAGATAACTGTAAATAATAATTTCATATGTCAGTAATGGCTGCATATGTTAAGTCCTCATTTAAAATTGACAAATTCTATTTATTTTACAGTATTATTTTTCACTTTGATACAAAATTAACTGAAAATTGAATACCGAACTGCAAAAAATAAACTAACCGTCGTTTTTGAGGCTTTGGAGGTCGATGACGTAAAGCATTTAAAACAAAAACTTTAAGTAATTTTTGATATGAAACACGCACTTTCACTGGCATTCCTAAAATTTCATGTTTTGTTATATGATATAATCAAATTATTCACTTGAGTAATTCTAAGGCAAAAACCTGATGGGCAATGTTCTCGATACCAAGACTTGACAAGTGGCACATCTATCGCTCTTCGCGTACGTCCCGAACGCATATTGAAAGGTCGTGGAGCCCACATTAGAGCTATGCCATTTCCAGTGTTTTCTGTATACAGCGGAACGTTACAGAAAATTGCTTCAATTTCTTCTGGTAAAACAAAATCTTCATCCTCCACTGGGACAATCTCTTTACTCTGTAATTTAGATATCTTTAATATTTAGATTAAAAATTTAATGATTTTTTTAACCTAAGTTAAGAGAAAAGACCCTACTAACAAGATCATGTAACCAGATCAGTTCTGACAACTTTCGCTAACACTTTTCCAAGTTATTCGCCTTTAAATATTGGTTATTTTTATTTTGGTTTCTGTTACCGACTTGATAAAGACCACATCAAATCGCTATACAACAAAAACCTAACTAATCATAAATTTATCAATAACGACCGTGAAAATAGTTCTAAGTTCAAATACAGAAAGTTTTCCTTAGCATATTAAAACCCTCAAAATATTTGTAGTGAATGCAATAGTGTTCAGTGAAATAGAAGATCAAAAATTCAACGAATTGCACATTGACTTGAAGTATTTTCACTAATGACACGAAAGATGTAATTACTGCTTTTGTGAAAAATACTTTCGAGATTCAAAATTTATGAGAAGTATTTAAAAAAATTGTTCCGCAACCAAAAACTGAGAATAAATGACAAAAGACAAAAACTGAGATAGCAAGAACAATAAGATTTCGAGTTTTTCCAGCTCAAAATCATCTTATTGTTCTCAATTTTGCACACATCGAGAAGAAAACAATGAAAATAAAGTTTTGACCTTTTCGATAGAGCGTTGTGCTATTGGATTAATCAGAGGGTCGTAATAAAAAGCTGGTAAATCTGGATCTTCTGTTTTGATAAATACAACAGAAGGGGTATGATACCTAAGAAATACATAACTATGAAAATTGTTTGAGCTATTACAATATGAGATTTATGATGAAATGGCTTTACTTTCTGTAATGAACTATAAAAAGTACCAAGACACTTGAACTGGTAAGCTGTTGATAAGATTATTGTACATGAAAGGGAAAGCGATCCGGTATTCAGTACGAATAGGAGCTCTGATAATGACTTTGTTTATATCGTTAAACTCATTCCAGTCTTCGTCACTACAAAAAGGTTAAAACATCATTTAAGAAATAAAGTTAGAAACATGACTGATCAATTTCAACCAAAGCTGCTTACAGTGTATTAAGATCTTTCACCAGTGGTTCGAATTTTGGGCCACCAGGAATTGCCACGTTTAATGCTTTGGCCGTGAAAAATGATTTCAAATCAAACAAATAGAAATAATTATCATCCACAAGATCAGTCAATAACTGATTAGCAAGGCGATAGAGAGTAGCCATCATTGGTACACTGAATGCCCAACGCCGATAGGAAGTTCCATTTAC